CTTGGTTATTTTCACCTCAAATAGTATCTCTCTACCTTCCTCCCCATTGCTACTACTGGTTTGTCCTGCAGTAGCAACATCAGGAATTCAAAAATAGCAATTTCACAAATTATTTTTCTATGCAAGAAATAATGTTTATCTAATCCTGAATATCATAGTTTGAATAGTGGAATTGGCAGTCCATGCAGGATTAAGAAAAAGCAAGAACAATTGTCTCCTTCTCCGCACCCCCCCCCCCTTTTTTTTTTTTTTTGCTTAATCTCTCTCCCATTCCCATTCTGCTTGGACTGTGGACACTTGCGCATAACACTCTGTCATCTAAAATGTAGAACATGGTAGCAGTAGCTGATTCTTCTGTTCTATGCCAGACTCTACTAAGCCCGAGCCCTGGTATCTAGATAAAAACTGCATTTGTAAGTCCCACCACTCAGAGAAATTTCTAACTTTTTGTGACAACTACTTCAGATCATTCAAACTATAACTGAGAACTCTGTGAATCTTGTGTTTCCCCCACTCTATGTGTCTTTTTTCTTTACATGAAAACATGTATTAAACATTGATACTCATGCACAGACCCTCCATTTGTAGTCTCTTTAGTAAGACTCTGCTTTAAATGAAAAGGAAACAAACCTCAGTACCCATGAATGGATATAAACTTGAGCTTCCCTTTAGAGTGTAGAGTATCAGGAACAATATTTACTTTTATTTCATCAGAAAAGCTTTAGAGTTTTGCTTTTCATATAATCTACCTAAAATTAATTTTGTTGCTATAGCATCATAGAGATCTAATTTTATTCTTTTCCACTTAGATAACCAGTTGTCCCCAAGTTTGATGAGTAGTGTTCTTTGTCCACTGACATAAAATGATACCTTTGTCATTTATCAAGTTTCTCTGTATGTAGTTCTGTTTTTGTGTCTTCTGTTCTGGTTTCTTACCTTGATTATCAGTCTGCACTGATTCCTTATTATGTTAATTATTGTAGCTCTTAAACAATGTTTTGTATCTGGTGAAGAAAAATCTTCTAAGGGCTGAGGATATACCTCAATGGTACAGTGCTTGCTTAATCTGTGTGAGGACATGGGATCAATCTCCAGTACCCCAAAAAAAAAACAAAAAAAAAGGGGGGGGGGAAGGAAGGTAGGATCTTACAGTGTAGTTTTCCTTTAGAATTATCTTGACTGTTCTTGTGCTCTTGCTCCATCCACATAAATTTGGAGTTACTGTTTTTATTTGACCAGAAGAACTCTATTGGAAGACACAAAGACAGATGGAATAGAGTAGAAGGCACAGAGACAAACCCACATAGATATAGTCATCAGATCCTTGACAAAGGTACTAAAAACATACATTGGAGAAATCATGCTGGGAGAACTGGATATCTATATGCAGAAGAATGAAACTACATCTTTCTCTCCCCATGCACAAAGACCTAAAGAGTTAGAGCAGAAACTTAGCAAATACTAGAATACATAGGTTCAACGCTCCAATATACAGGTATAGGCAACAACTTCCTCAATAGGACTACTAAAGTTTAGGAAATAAAACCAAGAATTACTGCATTGATAGCATGAAATGAAAAAGTTTCTGCACAGCAAAGAAAACCGTTAAGAACATAAAGACAGAGCCTACAAAATAGAAGAAAATCTTTGCCAGCTACTCTTCTAACAGTGGTTTAATATCCAGAACTAAAAAAAAATGTAGCACCAAGACAAATACCCATTTCAATAAGTGAGCAAATTAAAGAAACAGACATTTCTCAAAAGAAGAAATACAGATAACCAACAAATATATGAAAAAATGTTCAACATCCTTAGCAATGAAGAAAATGCAAATTAAAGCTACAGTGAGATTTCATCTCCTTCAATTTAGAAAGGAAATCATCAGGAATACAAATAATAATAAATTATGGTGAGAATGTGAAGGAAAAGGAACACTTTTATGGAATTGTAATACTATTGATAGAATTGAAAATTAATACAACCAATATGTAAATCAACTTGGAGGTTCCTGAGCAGATTAGGAATGGAACCACCATATGAGACAGATTTTCTATTCCTCAGTATTTATCCTAAAGAATTAAAGTCAGCCTACTATAGTTATATGTACATAATGTTCACAGCAGAGCAATTTGGAATAACCAAGTTATAGAACTGGCCTCAGTGTCCATCAATACTTAATTGGATGGACACTATACACAATGGTGTTTTAGTCAGCTCTAAAAACGAGTGAAATTATGTCACTTGCAGGAAAATGAATGGAACTGGAAGACATCATGTTAAGTGAATCTTATGAAAATAGAAGAGACTAACCAATAGGGTAGAGAAAAGGGGGACAGAAGAAGGGGAAGAAAGAGAGAGATTCTGGAGATGAAACTGATCAAATTATATTATATATAGGTACAAATATGTCACTGTGAATTCCACTATTATATATAAGTATTATGCAACAATACAAATATTTTAAAATAAAATTAAAAATTTTAGGCTTTTGATTGATTTTTATTACATTTTATTTAAAGATTAACTTGGGATGAACTGGCATATTTCTGACATTAACTCTTCAAGGCCATAACATTTATTCACATTTTCTTTCAATATCCTTTAGTAATGTCTTGTCACTATCTTCATGAAACTCCTATACTGTTTTTCTTATATTGATTCCTAGAGACATCATTATTACTATAATGAGATTTTTTTCTGTTAACTTTCTGGTGATTATTATTCATATGTAAGAAACCTGTTGATTTTAATATGTGAATTTTATATTCACCAATCTTGCTTTATTCTCTTATTCTCATAATTTGTATGTTCTCATAAATTTCCCATGCAGTTTCATTTGAAAAATAAGAATTTTTTTTTGTTTAGTTGGTTGGGTTTTGTTTATTGTTGTTTTGGTGCTGGAGATTGAACCCAGGGCTTGTGTGTGGTGACACACATTCTACCACTGAGCTACACTCCCAATCCCATACAGTATTTTTATTGTACATATTTTTCTAACAAATGATAGAAGTATAGGAGGTACAAATAAATGTAAATTTAATGTCTATAATTACATTACCAAATGATGATCACTATTTTTAAATATTTTTCATTGATACATTAAAATTATATATAAAAGTTGGATTCATTATGACATATTTGTACATGCACATAATTTGATTAATCTCATTCCTCCGTACCTCCCCTTTCCTTACCCTCCTCCCTTCCTGTGACCTCCTGGCTCTACTCTATTATTTCTAATATTATTATTTTAAATTAGAACATTATAGATATTTTTCATATAGGAAAGAATAATAAATAAGGTTTTAAAATTAATCTAAAAATGGCAATATTACTCTTATACATTCAGTCATTCATAAGTTAAAATATATATATGTCCATTTGTGTGATCTTCCCTCTACTGTGATATGAAATAAAGACTGCATAATGAAAATACAATTTTTAGCCTTCTTACTGTACTTTTTCAGTTATGAATAACAGGTTATATATTATTTTCTTAGAGTGTGCCAAGCATTACACATTAGTTAGATTTAGGATATTAGTGTAAATGGATTAACTCTAGAATATACATGGTTTTTACCTTACCTGAAAAACCTATGCTGTATAAGATGCACCTCAATTAAAATGTACTGTATTTTTTATAACTACATTTTGTAAATACCTATTATTGTGTCTTTACTCACTAGCATTTTTGTTTAGCCCCATAGTTGACATTTTAAAAATAGTGTCCTTTGTAATACAAAAACAGTCAAAGGAATGTAATAGAATATAACAAGGGGTGGGGACTGGAATTCTCAAATTCTGAGAAAATATTCATTCTTGAGGTTAACCACTGTCCACTAAACATATTGGAATAACAGATTCATACATTCTCAGGAACATGTAGAAACATAACAAAAAAGAAAAAATGAGCATTTAAAAAAAAAAAAACTCTGATTATGTTAGTCAAAGCTTTTTAAATGTTAATGAGTTTTAGAGTTTCTTCCCTCCCTTTTATTCCTATAAGTGAACATCAGAAACCAAGTAGAATACCAAAGTGAGAATAGGCTATAAATTGTCATTTTCCACATACTGAAGATTTTGAAATAGAATTCTAAAGAAGTAAAGGTAGAATCTTGGTACTGCCTGAAAACTCCTTTTGCAAGGTAGGGTTTCAAAACAGACTTACTCATCTTTTTTCCCACGGCACATAAATTTGACTCAGTATTTCCTAACATAGTTCCTTGTCCTACATCTTCAACTTATTTGTTGGCATGAATATCCTAATATAGATGTCAATTTCTTAATGGTATTTTCTATAGGTTTTCTTTATCATAGGTATGCCATTACTTGGCAGTTTTAATGCCATCGTTGTCTCAAAATAGAGAATTTTATCTCATCTTTGACTAATGGTAAAAAGAAACTTAGCATGCTGAATTTCAAATTTAAACTGGGTCACTTGGGGGTCATCCAGTGCCAACAAATACTTGCCAAGGAAAAAATTTTCAATATTTTACAAGGGTTAATTGTTACATCTTTTTTTTCCTTTTAGCCCAAGTTTTAGTTCATTATCTAAATGTTTTGTCCTCTGCTTAATAAAGGGTTTAATATGTGATTATGTGTACATTCCTGACTTAATCTTATTTTAATTCATTTTCAATGGTGGACTAATGCCCTTTTTTAAGGTACATCATTATCTTAACTCAGCATGTCATCAGCCTATTTCAAAAAAAGATAAGATTAAATCTTAAATGTGGTTAGTTCTTGGGTCTCACAAGTATTAAGGTACATAGATTTCATACCTTTTGTGAGCTCGTGAGTATTCATAGAAGTTGTATGTGATATGACTAATATTTATCTAGAAATAATATATACATATGTATCCAGTGTCCTTTAGCGGTGTCTCCTGAGTAGAATAAACATTTCTTCAATAATATTTAAACATTTTAGAAATTTTGAGAATTGCTTTTTTGTTTTGTTTTGTTTTTTCATCATTAATGTTTATATTTTAATATCCATTAAAAAATACGGAACGCTTCACAAAATTTGCGTGTCATCCTTGCACGGGGGGCATGTTAATCTTCTCTTATCATTCCAATTTTAGTATATGTGCTGCTAAAGCAAGCACTTAAGAATTACTGATAAGGGGAATGACTGCAAACAGGATAGGATTCCATATGGGAATGAATATACTGAAAAACACTAAATTATATACTTTAAAATGGTGATGTTTTTGGTATATGAGTTATATCTCCATAAAAATAATTCAGTTAAAGAGTCAGACTCAGGGCTCAGTGGTAGAGTGCTTGCCTAACATGTGTGAGGCATTGAGTTCCATTCTCAGTACCACATATAAATAAATAAGTAAATAAATATCCATCAACAATTAATAAAAATGTTATTTTAAAAAAAAGACTGAGATGAATCTTACTACTTTACATGTACTTTGATTTTGTACAAATACTATTCTAACCAACTGTTTAAAGATAAATTTAGGCACATTGAAATTTTATTTGAGCAGACAGAAATTCATGAATTGAATTTCTAGACCACAAGCTGTAACTGGGCTTTATGAAGGGGTTCTGAGAAGCATTTTATAGGGTGAATGTCCAAATAAGCACCCCCCCGCAAAAAAAAATGAGTGTTTAAAGTGGAGCAGTAGCAGTCTTTGGATCATTCCTATAGAAAAGTCCCTAGTTCTAGTTTGGTTGGTGCATTCTTACTAGGTATTAAGTTCCCTTTGCCTTTAACACTAACTTAGATTTCTGTTTGTTTAAATAGGAAGTAAGTACAGTGGATCTGCCTCAGTCTAATGTCTTACCAATTAATTATTTTAGCACAACTTATTAACCGACCTTAACATTTAACACTTCAGTTCGTACTACCACTCGTATCAATGATTTACCATCACTGAGGATGTTAGAAGAGTAAATTACTTCTGAAGGCATGCTCAAAGAGGTATCACAAAAACGTGAACAATGACACTGAAATATGTAAAGAGATCTATAGGGGACTTACTTGGAGAACACAAGGGGTGTGGGTGGGTGTGTGTGTGTACATGTGCTGAGATTATTATTTTATAGAAGTCATTCATATCAACTGGTCACATTCCATGTTTTCTGCTGTAGCAGTCTAAGTCTACAATGGGCTTAGACAGCCCAGAGAAATGTTTGACCATCCACAATGGATGTAGATGAAGTTCCTATTAGCCACACTCCCTCTTCACCATTTTGTTGTTGTTGATACAAAGATATTCAGTCACCTCACAAAGAGAGGAATTGAGGAGACAGATAACTGTGCTTAAAAATAAATTAACCTTTAGTGTTTATTTTTCTTCTTAAAAAAGACTTACCTGCTTTTTTTTTTCAACTCTCCAACAATTTATTAATTCTCAATTTTTCCTCTTTGATAAGTACATTTAGAGCTATAAAATTTTATATATTTATATATATTTATATGCCACAAATTTTTCTCCATGTAACATTTTATATCTTCATTAGAATTTATTTCCTGTCAAATGAAATCACCTACTTTTTTTAATATTTATTTTTAGTTGTAGTTGGACACAATGCCTTTATTTTATTTATTTATATGTAGGTTATATAACAATTGTACAATGTGAATAGAATAAAATAAATGCATATAAATTTAAAAAAAATATCTATCCAATCAAGTGTTAAGTGTTAAGGATCAACAAGCACACTTGCATGTACTAGGCGAGTACTGTACTGCTGAGCCACAACCCCAGACCCTCACTTGCTAACTTTTGAAACTACTGAGTACCTGTTCTATTGAAACAAAGCTACAGGTACTAGGTAGACAAGTGTGAATAAAACACAAAAGTTGGGGAAGGTAGACGGTAAACAACAAATAACAAATAAGGAAACTATAAGATAGTTCTGAAAATGTAGTGAATTAAAATAGGTGAAGTAAGAGTAACTGGTGGCTACAACATACTAAAGAAATATGCATACAAATGAAAAGAAGTAAAATAAAACCTGTCCAAAAGAGACAGTCACCATTAATCATGTTTGTGTATTCCTGCTTTACCTCATTGTGTTCATGAGTTTGTGTGTATGTGACATTTGCTTGCATTGTAACACAAGATTATGCCATTCATACTGTTTTGTGGCCCACTTTCTTCACTTAACATCTTATGAATACTTTTGCATATCCTTCTGCCTATATACTTTATGAGTTGTAGCATACCCACAAATTGATGTACATAATTTGTGGTATATTGCTTGTGCCTGCCATGCACAAAGCCCTGGGTTCAATCCCTAGACAGGAAAAAAAAAATAAAAAGTTGAATATTCTGTTTATTTATTTATGTGCTTATTTATCCAACCAAGAAAATTACAATTATATTTCATATTTTACAATAAGAAACACAAATGTATCACACCTAGAAAGAAAATATTGTAATGACCACCAAATTAACAAATATAAGGAATATCATTGAATAAAGATAAATGGAAACATGGCAAAATGTTTTCAAACCATTCATTTGATGGGAACTTCTAGGCATTCTGTCTTAGATTCCATATATTGACATTGCTTTACAAAAGTTACTTGCTTTCTTTCATTCATGAAACACTTATTGTATACCCACTGAATCTCATATCCGACACACGAGAATAAATATATTGCTTTTGCCCAGAGCTTAAATGAACTTTTTTCCAAATATCAGATTTTAAAACTGTATCTGAACATTTCTAATTATCAATAGTCTATATTACAAAACACTTCAATAATTTTTAGTATTTCAAAGTAGACGTTTTATGTTAGCTTAGCTGACTGAGTATTCTGCATTTACCAATAGTAGACAGCATGGATTCAGAGCAGCAATTCAAAAAAAAAAAAAGATATTTTTGTTTCAGTTTTAAATTCCTAATAGACTTGTGTTTCTTCTTAATTTGTTTCTCTTCTGCATGTAAACTGCCTTTCCTAAGGTTTACCTGGAAAGATAAACATTTCCGAAAATTGAAGCTCTTTTCCATCTACGAGAGCCTAGGCGGATAATGAAATTGGGGAATTAACAGGAAGAAAGTTAAGAACAATCTAGAAAAGCAGAACCCACTGAAGGTAGAAATGACTAAAATGGACACACAACTTTAAGAGCCGCCAGGGAGACAATCAGACTTCAAGTTAAATGATCCATCAACTACCTTTCTTAATGAGAAATAAGACAGATGCACACGGCACATTAAGAATCTAGAATAACCTAAACTTTGTCAAGGGGTGGTGTATTGAGAAACAACAGTGATTTTATGGTCTTTGAAGAGAAATTAAAAACAGTCTCAAAAGACTGCAAACTAAATGTGTAAATATCAGCCTGTTCAGAGAAGGGGCATTTGATATGTGCATTTTACATGTTATACAACTTAAACATTCCAGTTTTAATGGGTTAAAATTTTCTATAATAACTTTTTAAATTTTGCTTATTGAAATATAATTCACACACCATACAATTCGCCCATTTAGTATATATACAATTCTGTGACTTAGTATATTCACAGAGTTGTGCATCCATCATCACAATCAATTTTAGGACATTTTCACTATCATACAAAGATGCTCACTCAGCTTATCACTTTCCAGTCCCCTAATATTCCTTCAACCACTTCCACTAGCCCTAGGAAAACACTAATCTACTTTCTTTCTGTCTATACACTTTTACTTATTCTGGATATTTCATATAAATGCAGTTATACAGTATGTGATATTTATTTATTTCATTTACCATAATGTTTTCAGTGTTTGCTCATGTGGTAGCTTGTAGCACATCTTTCTGTTGTCCATTTTATGAGTGTGTCATGTATGTTAGTTGATACATTTTTACATATATGTACATCTATGAAACCCGCTAATCAAAATAATGAACATGTCCACCACACACAGAGTTCCCTCTTAACCCTTTATAACCTTCCCTTCTCTTTCTGCCACTATAATTTAGATTGCATTTTCTAATATTTTATATAATTAGAATTCTCTCTAATGTCTGGGTTCTTCCACTCATCATCATAATATTGAGATTCTATACAAGGGAATATTCGAATCAAAATAGTCAATGAACTAGGGATACATGGAAGACTCTCAATATTATATTCTAATATAAGCCCTTTATTATTAAATAAATATGTTGTTAGAAAACCATGTGCAGTGGCACACACCTGAAATTCCAGCACCTAAAGAGGCTGAAGCAGGAGCATCATAAATTAGAGGCCAGCCTCAGCAATTTATCAAGGCTTTTAACCTTGATTACTTAATGAGAACCTGTCTCCAAATGAAAAACAAAAAGAGCTGGGCTGTAGCTCAGTGGTAGACTGCCCCTGGATTTAATCTCCAGTATCACCACCACCTCCCCCCAAAAAATTAGTCATTTGCAACCAGGTGCAGTGGCACATTCATATAATCCCAGCAGCTCAGGAGGCTGAGCAATAGCGAGGCACTAAGTAACTCAATGAGACCCTGTCTCTAAATAAAATACACTATAGGGTTGGGAATGTGGCTCAGTGGTTGAATGCCCCTTTGTTCAATCCCTGGTACTAAAAAAAGGAAAAGTCATTTGCAAATATTTTCTCTCAATCTCTAGATTTTTATTCTCTGAACAGTCTCTTTCAAAGGGCAGAAGCACTGAATTTTGAGGAAATGCAGTATTTGAATTTTTCTTTTATAGATTGTGATTTTAATGTCATTACTAAGAAATCATTACCTAACACAAAGATTTCCTACTCTTTTGCTCTAAACATTGTATAGTTTTAGGTTTTCCATTTATGTTTGTGATCCATTTTGAATTAATGTTTGAATATGGTACAAGGTATGAATCCAAATTCTTTTTTTTTTTTGTAAATTGTCCCAGTACAACTTATTGAAAAGACTTCCTTTTTCTGCTCAGTTATCTTTGATTGTTGATGAAAACCAACTGACAATATCTGTATGAGTACATTTATTCTTCTGTTTCAGTTATCTATCATCCAGCTTTGCAACAGTACCACACTATTTTGATGACATTTGATTAAAATTCAAATGGCTTTAGTCTTCCAACTTTACTCTTTTTTTCCGGTTATTTTAACTCTTCTAGATCCTTTGCATTTTCTATAAATTTTAGTAACCATTTCTACAGTT